AGTAGAAACTACTGGGAATAGCACCAGAAGTGGTGCAAAACTTTATGAGCCACCGGCAGCTCACAATATCGCCAACGTGTCAATAGGCCAGTTTTGTTGTGGCGTCCACTTAGCATTTCCCAAATGCATGATTTAGTAATATTATGTGGATTTATTGTCCAGCAATGGCAGGCTTGCTTGGTAATGCGTTCTTTTTTAGTTTTTTTGGCTAAACGACATTATGGTCAGTATACCACCGTTCTCTCTGCTGATATTCAACAAGGAACTCCGCCGCGACATATACAACTTCTTTCGATGTCAAAGATATCAGCGCAGCAACGTCGTCTCTGTCTCTGCGTGTGAAAATCGAACCATCGCTACTGGCCTCAACAAGTTTTTTGATCGTCGTACATTTGCTCGCTCTACCTATTGAATGAATATGGGAATTGTTTGAGACCACAGTACCAGAAGTGATCTGCGTTGGAAAGGGCCACACTACAGAGAGGCTTAGCCACGCCTTGTTCTGTCTATCGTCATGCTGTTTACGAGGAGTAGAAGAGGGAAGTGGCAAATTCCAACCTTGCCATTGTCATGTTAAAACATATAACGCAAGAAAGCGCAGACGAGCAGACATGACACGACCTGGCCCCGCTGGGAAGTGACTCTCCTGAGGCTCAAGGTCATATTGTAAGGTATATTCCAACTGAGCTTTAGAAGGAATGTTGAGTCTCATTAATTTTGCAATGAGAACTGGCGTGCCAATTCCTTATCATCTGTGTTTACACCCAAAGACGGTAAATTTGCTTGAGAAGTGACTCATTTTTCAGCATTTTTTTGTATTACAACGTCACAAACAGTCTCATTTCACGTTGAGTATGCTTCGTGCAACCTTCATATAAACTTACGCGTACATGCCTCTTGACTAGAAAAATAATTCAGGAATTCACGCAGTCCAGGAATAAACCGCATTGCTACAGACCGCACTCCCACGCCTGTGTTTGTTGGGTGACAGAGGTCGCATTCTGAGTGCGATTTGATCAGTGGTTGCACTGGTAGAGCAGCGCAATGGTTGCTCAGTGATTTCTAAATCACGAGAGTTGTGGAGTATGACCACTATCTAAATGCTTTTGTATGGGAAATGTAAGTGAAGCGCATCGTAGCGATGGAATCAGTTGTTCAGCATGACCCCATTTCCCGGGGCTGCAACGTCCTGCTCTGTAAGGCAGTTGGTTGCTTTCTTACTGTTTCTTGGATTCTTTTTTTAGGCTAGGGCATTAGGTTCGATGCTTGTCAGTGAAGTATGGAATTTTTCCAATAAATTAAACCAATATGAACGAACTGGGCATGTGCGGATTTGGCTTCTCAATCAGTAGTAAAAAAGAGAGGCTGTCAAAAATTAGGCTGGCTCAAGATCGTCGACCTGGCACTTTGAGCAACTAAATATATGTGAAGAGAGAAACTTCAAAAAAACGAGACCTGTCATAAAGGGCAAGGAATTCTCTGCAAAAGGTACGAAACTCAATGGCAAAACTTTTAATCTTTAGCGAAATATTTCGCGTGAGAGAAAACATTACTTGTGTTACAATCGTTCAATAGATACAATTTTTCAATAGGCCCGAGTTGTGTCAAGGATCTGCCTCACGGCTGGTCTCGCGTGCGAGCCATTTGCACAGGGAGCCAACTGAGCTAACATGGAAGTTCTGCAGCGTGAAGTTACTCATAGCCATGCTCACCGCAAACGGTGGGGCGTGTGAATGGGCATGAAATATAGCGCAGCCGAAACAGCCTTTCCCGCAAGTTGTTGCGGACAATCAGCGAGCGAAGGCACATCAGCCCGCGCTGGGAGATCATGTGCCACGCCCAAAATACAGGTAGTCCTCCCCGACCCCTAGTCCCGACTTCTCGCTTCCTTTTGCTTCCTATTTCCAGAAAACTTAGTCTAAAATATGAAATAGTAGATTGACAGCTGGGTGAGGTATACGTACACTCAAAATCCCTGTGATGCGGTGGGCGTGGCCGCGTCACAACGTTCAACTAAAGTGGTGGTGGCGGCTGTGTTTTTGGTGACATATTTTAACTCTGACACTATGGTGTCTATGTCTTTGTCCAACGCTGAACAAAATGACAATTATCCCAAATTGAAGTATTCCGAGGCATTGCACTCCATGTTCAAAAGCCAAGCCTCCGTCTCGGGGATATGACGGTTATATGGAGAGAAAAGGTAGACATTCCCTTCTCCTTAACAATGATTCTCTCCTCATCGGAATAATGTGACTCTCTTCCGACAAGCCCAAAAGTTCCCTCCCGGGCGTGACACCAAGGCAGCTCCCGTGCACAAGCGATTCGAACACGTCCTTCCTGGTACAGCACTTATCCGTGAGACGGAGTAGGCGTGGTATTTGGACATTGCATAGAATGGGTTACTCATGGAACATTGCGAGCAGTCGAAGAACGAAGTCACGCCTAGCATCTCAGGGATTTTCGAGGGTGAGGTGACCGGGATGATCTCACTGAGTGAAGACCAGAGTACGAGTGGTGTAATCTGGGGTCCCTCTTCCTGAGATCATAACACTTTCTCGGCTTCAGAGTAAGTAACGAAGGCGTTGTGGCCCTCATCAGTGACAGTAGTGACGCCCCACTAATTGTCCTGCTCACCGAAACTCGAATGCCATTTTCTTTCATTAAGTTTCCACACCGTATTCTCGTTTCCTTAGATTATGTTAGGATCGGATGACCACCAGAAATGATTAGTGAGCCAGATGGCGCCAAGATATCGCTTTACTGTCATGAAAAGAACAAGTTCGTTGAGTTTGTCCATAGCGTTGGCAGCAGGGCACGCCATCTTTGTGATCATCACAACAGGGGGGTCGTATTTGCCCGCGATGGAGGGGGGGGTCGTAAACGCATGGCCCATGTTGAAGTGGAGAGAGCGGTGATACACGGTACAAGTGAAAAGAAGCTCAAAAGGGACGATGTAGATGACAATAAATAGAACTAGGCACTATCGAACTATTCCTAGGCCAAGAACTAAAAAAAATATTGCTGAAACTTTTTCCTCCTTCCTCACAAAAAACTTCAAGACACTTCGCCCACCAACCCTCCTCATCTGGTCTAGATAAATCCCAATCCACTAATCCGCAAAATCTAGAAAAGAATCCATTGCAAAAGCTACCTATGAAACCGTAGAAATTGAATCCTGAGCAATTTCCTCACAACAAAATCAAACTCAACAAAACAAAATCAAACTCAACAAAAACAAACAATCAAAATAATTCACAATCAAATGGATAAGAAAAAACTCACCAGGCCAGCTGGGAACCGGAACTATGGATTACTTTTGAATTTTGGCTGTTCGCGGTCAGCGCGCTCATACAAGCTCATTGGGCGCGCTGTTTGAAGCCAATTTCA